CTTATTTGATAGTTTTGTTTGTGTGGAAAATAGTATTTTCTTTTGTTAACAAGTATGTACATGAAGTTTTACCTCTGAATTATTTTGATTTTTCATAGTTGAATGATGGTAAAAAGCCTTGTCCCCTGTTTCTATGGATTGATCCCGAGTTGCCGCCGTTCCAAAAGGCTTGTTTTAACAAGCTTAAGGCTGAGAAGGACCGGTTGCGGGACCAAATGTTTTACCAAAAAGAAATGGAGAAACTGCTATCAGAGAGGCTAGACTTAAAAGCTTCCGAGAAAAATACGTTGGAAAATGAGAAGAAGGTGTTGTTGAACAATTTGGAGATTGAAACAGCGAAAAATGTAGAACTACAGTTGAGCCTTGATTATGCGGTCCGTAAAGCTCGAAGTTTGGAGAAGAAGCTCAAATATATGAAATCTACAGTTTGGATCATTGTTTTGATTTGTTTCAGTCTTTTGTTTTTTAAGTAAGGTCGGGTAGAATAAACTATGATGATGTCCTTAAATTATGGTCCACAAGGGCTGTGTGTAATAACTGATATTTTGTAAACCTACTTTGTACTGTTTTATTAACGATGGATTACTATGCATTCAACTTTATTGTGAAATCTTATATTCAATTTAAATAATTACATGCATTATTGGTCACAATGGCTGAAAACTGACCATTAAGGCGTCGTTAACGTCATGGTCAAAAGTTTTATATTTGACATGACGTGATATGACAACTCACGACAGATGTATAGGTAGGCTTAATCTTTTCTTTAAGGTTGATTTCATTGCAGTAAATGACTTCACGACCATGTTTACCATCATTTTTTTCCAATTACAACTTTATGAAAACTAATTCGACCTATTATTGAGCCCTATTCATAGCCAAGCTGGCCCGGTAAAGAAGATTAGTTACATCTTGGCAGGTTGAAAACAAATTTTGTTGTTTGCGTTAAAGTGACAATTAATAATGCAGTTTTGAATTGCGTGTTTTGAAATGACTGGACATGTGTACTAATGCAGTTCAATGCAGGTCTAATGCCAGGTTTCTTCAGCTATCCTCCATAGCTGAGCTGATAGGTCTTTACCAGGTTCTGCAATTCATGTATGACACATGCATTATTGGTCTTATGGCTTTCAATTTTTCCATTTAATCACATCAATGCATACTCAACAAAATTTATAAATATGAAACCAATCCATATAGGTGTCGTGTTATGATGAAAGAGCATGCCCACAACCCTAAAGTGACCCCTGGAGTCATCTTTTTGGTCAAAAATGTCAGATAATGGGGGACAGGCTATGACAAGTCACTACACATGTCTATAGGTAGCCTACAGCTACTTCTGCAAAGCTGCATTGAATAGACAATAAGACCATACCCATTGGTCCAACCATTGAATGCATGATTGATTTGGTTCACGAAATTTTCTATTTAAACACCATAACACATACTAAGTATTCCACAACCATTGAAGGAAGTAGTCAACTATTACTGAAGTTATAAAAAACAAGAAAATTCCTAATTCATAAATTTTGCGATGGCTCCTGATTTTGGTTTAGTGCAAGCAGACTATTTGTACGACCTAAATTGGACGCTAGAGTTTGATGACTTCCTTATAAACTACTTACTTGAAGATAAGCTATGTGGTATATTTGTTCCTAATGCAGATAATACTGAGTCCATACTTGGTGCTACACGAGCATTCAATGCGTGGTTCAGCAAGAGTTTCACGATGGAATACATCGGAATACGAGTTGGAGTTTTGGAGAAACGGCATGAAGTTTTCACGGCTCTGAAAGACAAGGCTGGTGTTGAATACGACGTCGGGCAGAACAAGTACCATGCTTCGGGCAGCACTTGGGATGAAATGCTAAGGGTGAGTTTTGCCTAAAATAAAATCGTTTTCATTTGATATACCTCTTCGCAAGAGTTGCATTCTAATTTATATTTTGTTTTTCCCGTAGTGGAATGACTTTTCCCTGGCGTACATGACGGAAGGTGATCCACATCACAACAAACTTGTGGAGTTGTTTTACGAGGAGCCACCGTACGTAAATCCTCTGCAGTGGTGTATCATTTCTGACAGCGAAGACGAAGATAAAATGAAGGGTAGTAAGGGCCGGGGCAAAGGTGTTGAAGTTATCGACGTGGATGATTACCCTCCCAACCGCCTGCCACCGAGTAGGTTAGTTCCCTATCCCGTTCGAACTGACATCCCTCCGAGAGCTAAAAAACAACCACCGCGTCCGGCCTTTTATATGGGGAGCAGTTCGAAGGGCCCAAAAAAGAAGCAATCCATTCACAGTCAAACCGGTTCAACTGATGGCTCTGTGAATCAGCCCAGAAACGACATCTCCTCTCACGGTGCACCTGAACCAGAAGAAAATTCAATATCTACTGCCTGTTCCGCCACTCCTATGGACTACGCGCATGATTGGCCGTGGAATTAGCTTCGTCACTATATCTTTCCCTTCTATGTTTGTTCTTGTTTTGGTGGTGTATGAAAATGTTAGTTGTGGTTGGTTGTTTGTTTAATGGTTCTTTACTATGTTTGTTATTTGTTTCGGTGTTGTACCCGTATGTTATTACATGTTCCTAATTGTTTCTTATGTAGTCGTTCCGTTCTCATGTACCCGTGCTTTGTTCCATTGAGCAAATGTCTGTAATGTTATTTATGTCTGGTGTTGTGTTCAAATGTTTCGGTGTTGTACCCGTAATGTTTCATTCACATTATTATGTTTTTCTAAACATGATTGAACACGATTAAATGTTTAATACACAATTCTTCGATTGGTTATGTTTCATTCACGTTAAGATACATAGCATATCATTTGTCACAAAAAACCTGAGAAGCTGTTAACATTCAATTCCTACATAACGTCACATCAAAGACCATAATAATTGAACAAAAAGTGTTAAAATGTTTGTCGTTCAAATACATGCTACACATCAATTTTGACCACTCTAAACCGGGGATACCTAAACGGAATCAAGGTAAACACCAACTCCGAATCCCTAACAATGGCATTGTCTTCAAAGAAATCACGCACATCGCCATCTTTGAGTCGCCTCTTACCATGCGATTGGTCTATAAGCATCGGATAGGTGTCCCCATTGAACATAAGCACTGCACCGTCTAACTCCGGAACCTGTCCCTCAATATGTGCGTCCCAAAACTGCATGGGTATCGGCTTCACAACAACAAAAAAAAGCAAAAAAAAAAAAAATATATTAAATCATATAACATAACATATTTTTTATTATGCAAGCACACTGTAAATCATGAAAGCAATCACATACCAATAATGCACGCTCCACATGAGTTTTTTTTTATTTTGATGGTAAACCGATTCTGTGGAGGCCTTTCAATATCGTTAGCCGTGTAGACTTTGACATTGAATGTCCTAAAATCATCTCGTTCAAAATACAAGTAGTACCCGTGACGTATATCCTCGGCCTGAACGTAATATTGCCACCCATTGGCAAAGTGCAAAAACGTCCTTGGGTCGTAATCCAGCCCAGACGGAAGCTTGCACATGTCCATTGGGTAGCGACGGCCTTCAACAGTTATGAGAGTAACGGGAAAAGGCATCGCGTGTCCGCCAAAATGAGGGGCCGCACCGTTTATGTCCTAACAAAGTGTAAATGTCATGTTTAAAATTTAAGGCACAACTGAAGTGGCAACACACAAAAAAACAAGCCTTAACACTAATGTGGTATTTAATAAAGAACTTTAACACGTAAGAATTATAAAATTTATTCTACATTTTATTATTTGTATATCTTTTAGAAGATTTTTTGTAAGTTTAAAATGCTCGAATTGAGTAGTTGAACTTACTAGTGTGGGATGGTTTGGCATGTCCATCAATACATAGAAACATCCCCACGGCGGATCGTCCCTATAGATAGACATCAAATCAAAATCACCATCCACCAAATAATAGTTTCCTGTGTTATACACGATTGTGTTATGTTTGATTTAGTGTTTTATTGGTGGGTGCTGTTTAGACATCAAATCAAAATAGGGGGAATACCGTTTGGGACTCGGAGACAATTTGGCCTAGTGATTGCATCTCTCAGTACTCGATTATCGGCAGCAGACCCCTCCCAGCCACACAGCATGTAAACGAAGTTCATATTTCTATCGCACACCCCAAGTACATTAACTGCTACTTGACCCTTTCGATTTCTATATCTTTCCCTATCTTTTGACGGAACTCGAACGTTAATGTATGTACCATCTAGTGCTCCTAGACACCCCTATTTAAAAAAAAAAAATGGTATTAGTTTCGAAGAAGTAGCTATTGAAAATTGACTAAGCGTTGTTAAGGGTCTTAATTTGTAGGCTACCTTGAACCATTTCCACCGTTCATCTGAACAAGCATCGTCAACTGGGGTAGGTGAGGCAGCTAGAACAGTGTAAAGGCGGATTACCGCATCAAGTACACGGTTAAAGTACTTGCTTACAGTTCGTCCTGATCTCGTAAAATCAAACTTTAAGGTGACGTTCTTCTTGTGATGTGCGAGGATTGAAAGAAACATAGCAACTTGTTCACTAGGTGCAACGTTTCTAGATTGAACAAGCCCCCCTAAATTTTCAAGGAGGAAACAAAGGCGACCAAAACAATCTCTGTCCATACGGAGGTTCTCAAGGCAAGTGCTGTCGCTGACGTCGACTAGCCTTTGCATGTGACTCACTTGAAGGGGCACTCTATCCCTCAACCGGTACGTTCGTCCGCTAATCAACGAACGTCGACGGCGGCGAGGGAGTATGAATTTGTGGTAGTAGTAATTAGCTACTATGAAAAAAAATCGAGCACCAAGAACAATCTCTTCCAGAAGAGTGAGGATTAGTAATTTGTCTCGCACGTTATCCATCTACAAAGATTGAAAAACATACGGACTTCACGCATTCATTGAACATTGTGAAAATACTAAACACATCTCTAATGGTGTTACCACGAGCATGTGAAATAAATTTATTTTTGTTAAAGTTGGTTCACATGTGTTCAATGTGTTTGTGTGCTGTGTGTAAGTAGCTATAGAGAAAGGAAGTGTTCGATTATATTCACATTAAAGTTTGGTTTATTATGTTCTGTGCAAGGATGCACTGCCATGTATCTTAGACCCACATAAATGTTGGGCTCCAATATCACAAATCCAACAGATTCAAATAGATATATTCAAGTCATATGACAACTTGAACAGATCCAAATACATATTCAGCTATCACACAATGGCAGCATCAACTAATTTAGGCTCCACAATATGACAAATTCAACAGATTCAAATAGATATTCAAGGCATATGACAAAATTTATCAAATTCAAATACTTATTGAATTCCCACACAATTCTGACCATGAACAAATTTAGGATCTAATAAACTAACTTCTGAACACATCAACATCAAACATGTTAGTTGAGCAGAAAAACATAGTAATAACTCTAGCTTCAAAGAAAACAATCCATAATACCCCACAAAACAAGCTCCTGTTGTAAATTTTCTCAAATATTGGGCCTTTGAAAAAAGGTTTATAGACCTCTGAAATGGATCATATAGGTAACAAAAAAACAGCAATTACCATGGCTTGGAACAACAATTTTTTCACTTACAACTGCATTTGAATACATCAAAAACACATGTTTTCAGCACACAAATCACATATAATAGCAGCCTCCAAAAGGCTCTGTAATCACATATAATAGCAGCACACTGCAACCTAAGTAGCTGAACCTAGGTATACACATAGAATTGCTGCATACTGCAACCTAAGTATACACACCTAAATATAGCTGATTAAATAACATACTTTCAGCCTCACAAAGAAAAAGGTTGAACACATTTTCAACATTTTCAGCCTAACACAAAGAAAAAAATGTTTTTCATTACACCGTATTAATAAGGCCATAGTTTTAATGATTGATGGCTCATCAATTTCCATATTGGACTGATATAATAGCATAGCTGGGCATATATATAAGTAGACATACCTCATAGTAAAATTACATGTTGCAAATAATAAAAACTAGCAGCTATCACATTGCCATATTATTGGACTGATAGCACCTTTCTTTTCAATTTTCATTTTTTAAAACAGAAATAAGATGACACTGCACAGGAATATACACATAAATAACACACTTTCATCCTCACAAAGCAAAAGGTTGAACACCTATTTCAGCCTAATAAACTATTTCAGCATAACAAATAACACACTTGAACATGCTTCTTAAGCTACAAAAACACAACAAATTTTCAGCCTTTCAAACCTTTCAGCCTAACAAACAACACACTTAAGTGTTGGTGTTCATGTTAACACATCTTGCAACCTAACAAATAACACAAGTTAAAGGATGCTTCAAATCTGAAGCTATCTCTCCCAGTAACTCAGAATTTTAACCACAATAAGCACATTTGGACAGAATACAATACTTTGCAAAATACCTACAGGTTCCATTTCAGAGGCATATTCAAATGATCTTTGTGAATTCAAATGCAGTTCATGATGTTGGTGCTCGTATCAGTAATAAACAAAACTTAAACAAAGGAAGTACATACCACAGCCTAACATATTCAAGAAAATGCAGCAACACAACTCATATGACAAGTTCAAAAGACAACACACAAGTGCATATGACACATTCAAACAAGATAAAGGTTAGAACTTAATTCATTGAACCCTAAATCTCTATTTAAAAGTAAAGCAGTGGGAGCAAAATTGAAACTGAGACCCAATATCTTTTAAAATTTAGCACATTTGCAGCACCTTAACACAGTCAACAGTTCTCAACCGGTTCACAACAAATTGAAACTGAAACAACAAAACATGCTTTTCTTTTTGTATCTTCAGAACTGAAATTTAAGCCAATAGACTCACCATTCTGCACTGAAATTTAAGCCTTAAATCCCATCATTTTGCAGCATGTGAACACAATGGGCAGAGTCTCGAACATTAAAACAGAAACGATGAAACATAGCAAGAACATTAACGGAAGCTGTTTACCTTAGACTAGGACGGATAAAAATTGGATGTTGGCTACTGGATTTTTGTTGTGTCTTCAGAGAAAACAACATTTGGAGAAACAAAATAAAAAAAAAAAAAATTAATAAGTCAAACAAAAACATAAATAATATCCGAAATCGATTTACAAATCCGCAAACAACAAATTAGGGCAAACCGCAAACAACAAAGTAGGGAAAAATTGAAATGGGAAAAGGTGAATAAAGCGAGTTTGGAGAATACCTTTACACCAGACGGAGAACCCCGAAGACAACACTCTAATGTCGCGTTCGTTTCTGCAGAAATTAGGGCAAAACGCTCGAGTTCAAACATTCATTCACGAACCTCCGACGAACGGAAATAAAATTGTAAATTGGAAATGGAATAGGTTAAAATGGTGTCATTGAAGCTCACCTTCTTCACGGGCGAAAATTCCGAAGCTTCCTCTAACTGTTATGGCGTCGTTGCTTCTGAGACGGGCTAGGGCAAAAAAATTGAGCCCAAAGTAAAGTTGTAATTTGAAGGAAACTAAGGGTTAGTTTGGTCTGTTCGCAACACTTTTTGAGGGTAAAAAGGGTATGCAAAAATCGGGATTATTTTATCACATGGGAGTGGCGGGATTTTTTAATCCGATCTCGGCGGATGGGGAGCTGCCACATGGGCTCCATGTCAGAATAATCTAGTCCCAATCCGCAGAAGTAAATGAAGGATACAGCGGGATAAATGTCTTATCCTATCCCCATCCGCCAAAGTAAACGCCCCCTTGGTATAAAATATAAATATTAAAGTTTACTTAAATAAAAATATATCACAGTACAACTACAAGTTTGTCTTAATACTTCAAAATAATTAGTTTAATAGCACTTGATTAGTTACAAGTATAATGAAAACACATGAGATAAAAAACCTATGAAATAATTTTCTATCACTAGTACTTTTGTTTTCAGAATTTAATTCAACTAACTGTGCAAGCCAACAACTGGTTGAAAATAAAACTCAGACACACATAATCTTATCAGATTTAGGCTGCGTTTGTTTAAGGGGAAATTTTCAGTTATCGTACGTACGTGATTGTGAAGTCATTACATATATACCATCCAAATATAAATAATTGTGTATATATCTAAAAGATGACATTTAATTAAAGTAATGGCTAAATTCTGCTAGTTCTCTTTGGCGTGATTCTTGTTCGTTTCCAACAAAAAAATAAAAAATAAAAATCTTGCAGATGTTGAGGGCCAAATTGTGGGCCACCATCATGTCGCCGTCGCAGTATACTCCGACGAAATTGCAGGGATCGACGGTGAGATCCCAAGAGGAGAATTAATTCGATCTGGGCAAATCGAAGAGGCCCTTTCAAATCGGTTAGAAATCGATCGGGTCGAGCATTGCTGCGCGAGGAGCAAAAATTGAACGAAAAGTACGAAACCGCAAAGCAGCTTCATCGCCAGCGACAGCCTCATTTTTTTATCCTGATATCACCGTTGACTATATATATATATATATATTTAACATATACTGTACATATACCGATCATATATTATACATATATTGCAACATAGCGCAAAACGAATAGAGGCGCCATCGATCTTTTTCTTAAGAAATTACGAAAATATACCACAAAACAAAAAGTTGACAAGTCGATTAAAATCAAAGTATCTTTTTTCCATAGCACTTTTT